TGTCAAACAGTTTTTATTGCTATCACGTACGTGACGTGTTTTTAAACATGTATACTAAAACGTCTAATTACCTTGCTTAAATCCACGTGCTGCTCTCGTTTGTTCAGGGTCGTTGCATTATCTCGTGTTTTTCACCCCGAGGGTGTGTGTGCTTTCAGATTTTTTTCTTTGCGGAACCCTCTTTTTAAGAACCCTCTTCTTCCTCTCTTTTTCTTTCTTTCTTTCTTTCTTTTTTTTTTACACGATCGTTTTATCGAGGACTTCCTGTTGTATCTCTGAAATATTTAAGATCCTCGGTAACATCATACGGTATCTCGGATTTATCTTCTTTTCTTTTTTTTTTTTTTCCAATTTCAATAAAAACAGTTTTCGAATCGTTCAACTGTTTTCTTCCGTTAGATAAAAAAATAAGCTTTATGCATTCCACCTATGCGCGAACTGGAACGAATTTAATCGATCGAATAATTTCAGGGCGACAGGAAATGATTAATGCTTTTCGGTTCATACAAGCCGGTAGATTGTTTTCTAACGATCCGGCTGGCACGATGATCGACTACCTCTTTATCTCAATATCGTTCAATGGGCCGTGATATTTTCGAATGAAAAAACGCCGCCATTAATTTTACTCTTAAAATAAACGCTGTCATTGTAAGAATAATTATATTCGGCGGGAAAATCCGAATAATAATTCGGATATAAAAGTATCGTTTAAGAAATGTATTTAAGAACAATTTTACGAACGAGATTATTTCTATTGAATTCTCCACATTGATTTCGTGTTTCGTATTTCAAACACTACAGAATAATTGCATTTTATTTTCCTTTCCATTCTCCCCTCTAATGTATCACTTCGCATCAGGCCAGACTAAAAAAATAAATAAATATAAAAATAACACGAAAAATCTATTTTAATTTACGTTCCATCCACCATTATTTCACAATTCTTCTCTTAATGCACTTTTATTCCACTTATTAAAAAAAATATAATGTTTATAAATCACGCGTTTTTAACGAATGACAAAAAAGAAAAGCGTTGCTCTTCCTCGTTTTCATTCATCAGTGTAATTGAAACCCATTACATACCCAGATATTTCCATAAAAGATTTTCACGCTTCACACTTGATTACCGCATACGGTTCGTATGACGATGTAACACGGTTAAGTACGTTTCGCGATTCCATAATCGCGCACAATTCGCGTCATATCCGAAAACGGCCGGTGCGGGCGAGAATGAAATTTCCACGCAGTGTTGTAGATGCTTAATAGAATTATGAAAATCGTTCGCGATGGCGGAAGGGCGTTTTTACGCGCGTGTCACGTGGATCCATGATCCACCGGTGCACGTTAATTACCGCAACGCGGCGGTCATATAAATTACGCGGTCACAGATAAATTTAATGAATGTTTACCACCGTCAATGGCCTGTCCGCAATGTTTCCCTCTAAATCGCCGTGCGCCCGGAATACCCACACTTTTACCACGTGATACAGCGTTTTTGACGGGAGTAAATTTTCTCGCGTGTTGCCAGGTTTTTATAATTGATTGATGATGAAGTAGAGGACAGTTTGGGTGGTTAAATGGGGACGAGGACGAAAAATCTGGAATTTTTTACCTGGATAATGTAATTTGTTAACTGTTGTTGATAATGATCAAGGAGATTTTTCTTTTTAATTTCATTTTCATAATCGAGACGTATATATAAGTATCTTTAATCGTAGCTAAGAATAAGTAAATGTATTGTTGTAAATGGAAGTATTCGATCTTCAAAATTTATAAATTTTTACATTTTTAGATGCTTGTTGCTTATTCATAATAATCGATATTCAAGATAAAGAAACAAAAGCTATATTTTCTATCCAATTTTAGAAAAATGACTCTACTTTAAAAAGGGAAATACTTGTTGCTAAATGTTATGTGGATAAAAATTTCTCAAGTTCTCGTCTTTTAAAAAAATGAATGTGCTACTCTTCTCGATTATACGCTCGCACGCAACTTGTTGCTGCTTCCAAGACAGCAGGATTCTTAAGCCGGGATTCGCGTAATAGCGCGATAAGTGATCAAATTTAAAGAGGTAAATCGTGGAATATTGAGCAGAGGCGAAGAAGGGATGAAGCTCGCAAAGCAAATGAAGGAACGGTGAATACCTAATTAATGCGGGAAGCGCAATTATCTTTGTAGCCTGACGGCAGGAATATGCAGCATTGTCCTGAGAGCGGCGTGATTAAATTCACTGAACACCAACACCGACACAAGGATTTAGCCCCTGGACCTAATCACTATCCGCCAGTGTTGAGGGCTTAATGGCTTGCACTTGAAATACCGTTTCACCGTGCATGAGAAGAGTTAACTGGCGTCCCTGCGCCGGCTAAAGAGTTTACCAGGTGGCGTTACATTAAGCTTTGTTTAGCAGTTTCGAGGAATCGATCGACCTGTAATTCCAATCATCGGTATCGAAAGCTCGATCAACTTCGATCGGTGCACGGTCCAAAGTGCGTGGCATAAATAAATTTCGTCACGGTATGTGCACAATGTGTTGGATTACAGGGACGATCGATCGGGATCGATACGCCTGATCCTGTCTAAAGGATGAGTTTCGAACTGAAAACGAGCGGTTGAATGCGTGTCAAGTTGCGAAAAGATGCGAAAAAAGAAAAAAGGAGGAGAAATTGAGAGAATGATCGAATACTTGGAATTATAGTAATATATATATATATGTGTGTGTGTGTGTAGAAAGATTGGAATTTTATTATATTCGATGGTTAAACATGAATTAAGAATTAAAAGTACGTGCTTATTTTTATCTAGAGGCATAAATAAAAGGAGAGAGAGATATAAATATAAATATTTATCAAATAAATTACCTGTGTATTGTTATTAATAAGATAATATATAAAATCCCGGAATGAAGATAATTTACGTGCTTCCATTAAGAGAATTTTCAAATTCCATTAAAACTATTAATTTTAATTAAAATTTATATTTAGGTGTTTTTAAATTTTACCATTATTTGCAAGTGTATATTCTGAATAATAAAAGATAATAATAAATTCCTCAATCACTTAAAAATATTTTAAGATTGATAATTTAAGAGATTAATCATTTTATTTATTTTACTTTAATTATAAATTAATGTTAAATAAACATTAAAACGATTTTAAATGAATATAATATTACTATATAATATTATTTTATAAATTAAAACAAAATCTCAAATAAAATAAATCAATTCTTTCACTATTACTTGCATTCCAATTTTCTTTAGCATAAATATATCCCTGGATTGACATTACAACACATTATTTCTGATTATTATAATAAACCAAATATTCTCGATTATATCTATATAATCTATCAAATTAAACAATGAATTTCGAGCTCAGATTGCGAATAGCGACTTAAGAATTAAAATTCCAAAGATTATATAAAGATTTAACACAAATTTTCTCCCCATCGACGCTCTTTGAAAATATCTTCAATATCATTAAGCAGGAACATGTTCGTGCAGAATGGATCCATCGCTTATGCGATTTACAAGGACGATAAGATACACGATAAGATAGCACGATCTTGTAACATTCCGCAGGAAGCATAACCGATTGCCACGAAATAGAATATGACTTCAATGTTCTCTGGCCGATAGGTTAATTTCGCGTAACAGTCATGGTTAGTTCAATTCCAACCAACAAGACTGCTGTAATATCTATAAGGATGTAAGAACCATATCGACTGCCAAGAAATATAATGAATCAATTGAATTTCCTTTCTCTCGAATCGATTATTTCTATTCCATGACGTTTTAGTTGATGTGTTGTAATCTATCACTTATTGAGAAAAGAACGAAAAAAATAAGTATTTTGATATATATATATTGGAAATTGCAAGATATGAAACAATGTTGAAAAGCTATTTATTTATAATTCTATTAAAAAATTTTAATTTTTATAAAAAAATTTCCTAAATTTCTATAATGATTGAATGATTTTCTAAATTGTTTAATTTTTTCTTATTTTTTCAGAAATCAGAAAGAAGCGTTTCTACACTTGTTCTACTCTTTCGTATCAAACGTATATAAATTATAATATTAAGTTATCGTTTATCAATAACGAATTGACAACCAAATTGACTAACACAAGCGCACATTAAAGTTAGATAGTTGATGGCTATCGTTGCATCAAATTGCTTGAAACTCTTGAAATTGATTCGAGATCTTCCATGATCATCCACTTGATCTATATCGTATCAATAGCATGGATAGCGCCTTGTGTAACATGGCCACAATGCAACGTAACAGAATGGCGATTCTACGGTGTGTTGGCCTCTTTGATGCTGAAACTGACATTGTTGACTTGTGCTTCGAGCGTTTCGACGTTGACAGAGATGAGATAGAAATTGAGTTTTAAATCCTATGGGTGAAAGAGCGAAATGGAAAATTTTTATTTTGAAATAAATCGAATTCATAATATACATTTACAATTATAGGATATCGAGATATATAATCAAGTTTTTCAAAACAACAGAAATAACAAAAATGGAAACGTTCATTAAAAAGAAATATAGATACGACTTTGAAAAATATCTTATAATTCGAACTGTGTCGAGAAAATTGGCATAGTCTATCTCTGTCTTTTTTAATTAGAATTATTATACAGAAAGGAACAAAAGAATTGCGAAATAGAATCGTGGAGAGCTATGAAAAGTCAGTGTAAATAAAGAATATATAACAATGGTCTGGTTCGTAAACTCATGGAAAAAATTTGCAAAACAACCACATAATACTTGAGAAGTCGAGAAAAATAAGTTTTCCTATTTGCAACCCAGTCTCAACTCGAACGAATACAACTTTGATATCTCAATTTGCATACGCATGTAAACCTCGTGAAAAATCAAACGATAATACGAGTTTTTAATATCGAAGATTATCATTAATTATCAAGAATTTACATTTAAGAATTCTAAAAATATATTTTCCATGAAAAATCGTATTTTTTTTTCTTTTCTTACAAATTTATCTTGGTTTTCAGGTTGATTGGAGCGAAGGACGGTAATCATGGATGATTGAAAATCGGTAGAATTAAAAAGGGAGTTAAGTGGAACGTCTTGGTACTATATACGGATAAAAATATCTTGGAAAAGAAGAAATCGTTGAGAGGAATAGAAATCGGTCCCATTTTCCAGCGATGAAGAGAACGAATCGACGAATGAAACGAATGAAGAGAAAAAGATTATTTGGGACGATTCTTCGATTCGTCTAATATCAATTCTACGAGATCAACTTGCAGGACATGTTTCGCTGTTAAACAAAAGAAAAAGAAATTTTCAAGCGGACTTATATTGGAGATTATCATGGGATGAGAAACGATGAAACTTTCTGGATTGTTGTAACACGTAAGAGAGTGTTACTACTGAACTAAAAGATAATTTTTGAACGAAGGGTAACGTTATAAAGATAGTATCGAAGTTGAGTTTGAACTAGTAAAGATCAGTAATGATGGTTTGGCAAAAACTTTGAGGGATCATTATATAGATCAATGATGTTACACGTATGAGATTTCAGTTTTATGATCGATCTTGGGCAATTGTTGCGTTAAAATGAAGAGAAATATTCGATAAGTGTTACAACATTTTTAATGTTACAACATCAGTGTAATAAAATTATTAAGATTTTTTTATTACTTTTTTTATTACATCTTACTTCTATTATATTAAAACATTATTTCACCATTTTTCAGGATATATTTTTTACAGTCGTCTTATCGTAAAATTTCAAGAGGTCTTTTTGAAAACGTGGCTAACCCACTGGAAAGGGGAATGAAAAATTTTTGCTCTGAAATTCAGGAACCGTCTTCAAATATGCATATTTCAAGGCGGCGCGATCTCTTGAAAGGAAACGACGAAAAGTACCATTTTCTTACTTCTTCGTTCTTTTACAAATCAACTTTGAATTACGCGACCTTAATATTTTAATCTTCTACACTTTCTTCTACCCTTTTTTTTCTTAATCCTAATACATGCATTGTAAGATCTCTAAAAAATAAATTGTTAGAAATTAAAAATAAAAATCGGGCCTTCTTTCTTTTCCAGTAATATCAAGCATCCCCATCCATTTCTCGCTTGTCTATTCCAAGACCGTTAGCCAAAAAACTTGTATGTATCCCTTAAGCCCGCGCCACGGAGTTTCTAACGGAAACTTAAAGGGGATTAAGACTCGATATACGTGACAAGTATTTGGCGTGGATCAACCGGGTGTATGGTGTAGGCGGCCAAAAATACTTTCCACGTAATTCTTGGCCGGCCAACTGGAGCAATTGAACGAAACCGAAGTTGCCGGCAAACCCTTTGTAAAGTTGAACGGGAGCCACGCAGAGATTTTAAAACGAACCATTCCATTACCATTCCGAACCGTGAGAGTGAAGATTTAAGCATTACAAGCATTTTTATTTGCTTGCAAACTGGAATTGGCCTTAAGAAAGCTGTTTGATCTTGTTTGCCCCTTTCGTTTCTCGAATTTCAAAAATATATGTAAAAATTTTATTTTACATTCGTTAAAAGAAGTTTAATCTTCGTCGTTTCGAATAAATCGGCACGTGATAATAGAAATTTGATTGGAGATATAAATTTCTATCGATTATTTATCTCTAGAGAAACAAGGAATGTTGCTGGCGTGATAATCATTGACAATCATCGCGTAATTTTTAAGTGGAAAAAGGTGGACAAGTTTTGGCAATCGTTGAACGATATATCTTCTCTGGGCAAAGACAAGACGCTTATGGGATATATCGATTTCTCGTCCAAGTATTATCAAATCCCACGATTTATTACCGCAACGGTGGTAGAATTTTTCAAACGTAGCAGACGTTTCCTTGGACCGACCGTGTTTTCATTGAAATATCCATAATGGATGGACACTTGGACTGACTTCGATTATTGATTATGAATGTTTCACGAGCGGAACGAAAAATCTAATAATCCCCTCCGAAGGAGATTAAATATTTTTATTATTATTCAATATTCATAACTTTTTCTATTCTAAATCAAAAAACTTACTATTCCTCGAACAATAATCGTTACTACAGTCCATTAGTTTAATCGTTGTAGTAATTCATTTCACCAAAACACGATCCTTAAAACCTTAGAATTTTTCCTCAAACGAAAATATATTTATTTCAACGATTCTCCATCCACGAAAACAGGAACTCTATAATTCACCGTGATAAATTCGCTTCGCTCCATCGAACGCGCAAAGCATATTCTTCCCAAAACATTCCTCATCGAAGATCAGAATCAGAAAATATCTTCAATCTCCAAACAAATTTCTCAACTTAAATCATCTCTCTCTCTCTC